TGAAAATTAAATGAATGATATGAAATTAACAAGTAGAATATGGATGAATATTAATATAAAATGAAATGATTATAATTAATTAAAATTAATGTAAGAAAATGGTACATTTGATTAATTAAGAAAGTATTGATTATATGAATTAATAATTTAAAGTGATATAGTATTTGTAATAATAAAATATCATCAATTAAACATATATTATTAAATAACATTGTACAAATGGATAAACATGATTTAATAAATAAATTGAATGTGATAAATTAAAATATAAAATAAATATAATAAATGATGAAAAAATGGAGAATAAAATAGAATAAAATGAAATTAATATTTAATAAAAATGAAATAAGTAGAATCAAAAATAAGAATATAAAATAATGAAGTATTCATAGTATTAAATCAAAAAATAATTAATAAAATTGAATATTTCATAAAAGACTAGATATTTAATATAGAATATAAATAAAACAAATATGAATAATAATTGATATAACAATAGTCTGATAAAAAGTAATTTGGCATTTACTAAAAAAATTGAAATGAATAGAACTCTTATAAAAAAATAAGATAAATTAACAAACTAAAAGGAGTAAAAGTAATTCCAATAGTAATAAATGGATTAATCAATATAACCATTAAGAATGATAAAAGAACAAGGTAATAATTTAATATGAAATAATGATAAAAGATATAATTATTATCAACATAAAAGATATAATAAAATACTATTGATATTATGGAAGTGAATATAGAGAAGTACTTCATGAACAAATTATTCAATAGAAAATGAAGGATATAATCTCATCTGAGTAAAATGAAATAGATAAATTAAGATTTACTGTTTCTTATTTTATTAATTTTTATTTAATTTAATATAATATAATTAATTTTTTATTTTATTTTAATTTTTTCAATTTTCTTAAATTAGAAATTAATTTTAATTTTTTCTTTTTATAATAATTTTTTTATGGTACAATTTGACGATAGTGTGATATCATCATATTAAGCATTAAAAGTAAATTTTATTAAGTTGTTTTATATAACATTTATTTGATATTTTGTTATATTAATATTGTTTTATATAACAAATAGATTATTTTTTAAAAATATAATAATGTTTTAAATAACATATTTAATATTTTTTGATTTATATTTAATGTTTTA